CACAGCAATGTGAATGTACTTAATGCTCCAGACCTATGCCCTTAAAAATGGTTAAGATGGTCAATTTTATCTTAGGTGAATTTTACTACAATGAAAAATTAACTAATTAATTTTAATATACTTTTTTTAGAGCAGTTTCAGGTTTACAGCAGAATTGAGCAGAAAATACAGAGTTCCCACATAGCCCTCCCCACCCACACATGTATACTCCCCTCCCCTCAACATCCAATGTGGGAGAATCTCACAAACACAATATTCCACACACACACAAAAAAGCTAGACACAAGAGAATATGCCCTGTATGGTACTGTTTCTATAAATTTCAAAAACAGATAAGAATGAATGTCCAAGAGCTCTTTCCAGGGCTGCGGGGTGGACCCCAGGAGCCGTCCGCATCTGGGTGGAAAGTGTCCACCAGAAGCAGCTAAGCCTTCACTTCCATTGTAATGGACATTGTGTAATGTCCATTGTGTAAGGGCCTGAGCTGCCGATGGGCTGCACACACTTACACACACACCGTCCTCAAGGACGGGGCAAGATCAGAAGCCAATCGAAGGCTTCTGGGAGGATGGCCAGCACATGCAGGGTGTATAAGCCCCCGAACTCACTAGAGGGGAAAATCCGCCTGCAGACACAAGACCAGCCTCATAGACACACGGGGAGGTGACGCTGGGCAGCCTGGCCTCAGCATGCAGGGCTGGATGAGGCATGGGACACCTGAGTCTATCCATCCTGCCACCTGGAAGATAGAGGGTTGGAAGAGCCCCATGGACGGATCTTAGAGCCACTTAGCTGTGAGGTCTGCAGGGTCACTCGGATGATCACCAGCAGAAGACTCACCGCCAGCCCCAGGACAGGCTGACCTCCCTCTGACCACCTGCCCCAGGTGTGAGCCAGCCTCCCTCTGACCACCTGCCCCAGATGCGGCTCCCTTTCTGTATGGTGGGGGCTGTGGTGTTAAACAGCTACCAGCTGCCTGGTGTTTCCAGCATTGCCCTGGCATCCATGGTCTCTGTGGAGGCTGAAAGGTGAATGAGGCGAGTTGCACGCAGTGACGTAAGTGCTCACACACACATGGCTGAGGTCACGGGCCCCAGGACGAGGATGAAGACATCTCCACACCTGCCAGGCGGGCAGGAACACAGGTGCGTGGCCGCTGGTCCCAGGCCAGGGGCCTCAGACAGGTCTGTTCCAGGAATTGGCGGCCACACAATAGCTTGTGTTCCTGAAATTTAGCGTCTCAGGAGCCTGTTGTGAAAGCGCCAGGATGCCCGGCGCCTGGGCCCTGAGTGACGTCATCGCTGTGAAGCACCTGGCCAAGGAAGGTGCCCTCCCGGGGGTGGGGCTCTCACACGGGGTCCTCAAAGAGGAGGGCGCCTTGTGTAAGCCTCCACGTCCAGAGTCTCCCGGGCCCTGCTCTGAGAAGGGGGTGCCGTGGCACAGCCACTAGGAACCCACGTTTTGGCCTTGTCAGGGGACCTGCCTGGAGTGCAAATGGGGACAGCAGTGGCCAGCTGAGCCCTGGAGCCTCAGGGGGGCCACAGCCCCGGCCGCCTGCGGAGACCACCCTCGGCAGGGGGGATGTTGGAACGCTTCGCAGGGACCTGACCCTGCCACCACCACTCCAGGCGTGACATTGAGTGACCCACCAAGCCTCACCCCGCATCTGTGAAAACAGGAAGGAGTCAGTGAGCCCAGCTCAGCACCACCCCACACGTGGTCCCTCCTGGGCCCCTCACACAGCACTGCCGCCAGGCCGCGGCTCCCCACGGAGACCTGACCGTGTGGGCTCCGACACGCCCCGCACTGGGACGGTGCCTTATCTTCGGACTCTTCCTCCTGCCTCCTCCGGGGCCTCTCCAAGCATCCCACGCTCACACTGCTTCCCAGGGACTGTTTAACTCAGACTGAAGGTAAGACAGCACCCCACGACAGGGTGCTGCTGGGACCTCCTTCTTGCCAGACGGCCAGTGGGGCTCCTGGCACTCCTGGGGCTCCAGGCCCGCGGCCAGGTGGCTGCTCTGTGCTGTGCGGACTGGACTACGGTGTGTCAGTACCACAGACCCCCTCCTGCTGCCCACGTCCGCAGAAAGGGTGGCCACCACCCCAACCCTGGTTCCAAGGTGGAGCCGGCATTCAGCTCAATTCAACAAAACGGCCACGTGCCACTCAGAGAATCATCCCAGCAAACCCGCATGTATCCACCGCCCAGAGGGCCCTGAGGAGCCATCATGTGAATACCTACACTCCTTCGCCTGGTCTTCTGTGGGTGGCGCTGGGCCTGCCTCCAGCTCGGGCTCCAGGGCCCCGGGCGCACACCTCCTTGGGAATGAACCTAAGAGAGCCTCAGGCATATCCAGGGGCCCAGCAGGCCCTGCAGCCAGCTCTCCCACACCTTCGGACCAACTGACATCCCTCCCCAGAGCATTCACGTGTCCCCCCACGTCACTGCTGGTGTGGTTGGGCACTTCGCTTGCAGCCGCCGCAGTGACCCCCCCTTGTCAGATCCTCCTACCTTTCCTAGGACTTCACCGGGAGCCCCTTCCCAAAGCGGCCCCCCGTCACCCCTCTGGGCATCAGCACGACTGTTCTACCGAGGCTTCGAGCGACATCCTGCTGTGCGTGCGCCCTGTGGTTGCTGTAACAAAGGACCACAGGCTGGGGCTGAAACAGCAGAGTTACGCTGAGGTGTCGGTGGGGCTGCACTCCCTCCAGCGGCCCGAGGGGAGAGGGGACCGTGGCCGCATCCTCCAACCCCCACCGTGTCTTCACGTCATCTTCCCTCTACGTGTCTTGTGTGCAAACTTCCCCTCTTTACAAGGTCACCCTCTGACCTCACAATAACCTGGTTCATTCTGCAAAGACCCTACCTCCAAATAGGGTCCTATTCGGGGGTCCTGGGATTAGGACTTCAGCCTCTCTCTGGGTGGGACACATCCAGCTTAACGCAGCTGGAATTCATCTTTAGGTCGGCTGTGAGGTGAATGTCAAGGTTCATCTCTGTCCTCGTGGGCAACCAGGTGGCCCAGCACCATGTATGAGTGAGACTGTCTTTTAGCCCATTTCTCTGCAGAACCATCTTTACCATCAGAAGTGCCCGGATGCAGACGCGACAGTCCGTTTCTTTTCAAGCTTCACACAGATTACATGCTGGCTTCATCACGGAAGCTTATCATGAGGAAAGGATCTGCAGAGCAAATCCTACCAAGCTGACCGTCGGGGTGCCTTGGCTGCTTTTAACTCTCGGCGTTTTCATACACCTTAGAATCAGCTTGCAAAGTTCCAGAGAACACACCCCCTGTTGGAACTTTGACTGGGATCTTATCGATCTCAGGGAGAAAACTGACATCTCTGTGGAGCTGAGGCTTCTCATCCATGTACACGTTGTATGAATGCATTTCGTTTGTCTTCAATTTCTCAACACTGGCTTGTAGATTTCTGTGCAGAAGCCTCGCACAATTTCTTCTTGGATTTGTTCCTTGTTAACTGATTTTATTTTTTGCTGAATTGTAAATAAAGTCTCTCTAAATTTCATTCTCTAATTATGCACTGCTCACGTAGAGAAACAGTTCCCTTGCATACAGGTCCCGCAGCCAGCCGCCTTGCGAAACTCACGTATTGATGTGACTGAGTTGTCTGAGGGTTGTTTAGATTCCCTCCACGCACAGCCTGTCACCAACGACCATCTCAGGCTTGTCACTTCCTTGCAAATCCTCTGCCTTTTCCTTCCTGCCCTCCCCTTGCTGGAAGGGTCAGGGCCCGATCAGCAGCGGTGACAACGGTGCATGAACATTCTAGAAGGGAGTTTCTGAAGCCTCCCCATGAGGTGGGAAGGTTGCTCTCGTAGTTTGTAAACCCCCTTAGTGAGATTAAGAAGCTCCTTTTAATTTCTAGAGCGGTATGAGTGTTTAGCATGAATGCTTGTTGAGTTTTATCAATTGCCTTTCCTGCAGCCGGCACCTCGATCCTAGGATTTTTCCTTCATTCTATTAACGTGATGAAGTCCACGGATTGGTTCACAATCGCTAAACCAACCTCGCGTTTCTGGATGAAACCCCACAGGTTGTAACACAGCATCCTTCTCACAGACGGCTGGATTCACTGTATAACGTTCATCTGCGGGTCTTGAACCGACATTTGTGGGTGTGACCTGCAACTTTTCCTTCCCTGTAGTGTCCTTGTTGGGTTTTAATATCAAGCTGTGGCACTGAGATATCAAAGGAGGGACTGGATCTTGGAACACAGCCATCAGCACAAGGCCACCGCGTCAGTGGGGGGTGGGAGGCGGGAGATGGAAGACCCCACAAGAGCACCTTCAAGGGGTCTTGCAGCCAAGAAAAGGCCGGCAGGCAGGGAGAGTCCTCCCTTCAAAGATGAGGAGACAAGGCCTGGAGGACTAAGGACATGGCCCACGCGGGGCCCTGGCACCTGCGCTCGGGCTGCTCTGCTCTGTGCCCCGCGGCCCTGGGTGGCTCTGAGCAGCTCACGGGGCTCAGAACTCAGCCAAGCTCCAGTCAGCAGCTGGGGAGGGGCTCCGGAAACCAGAGTTGAGGTGGGGGCACACCTGGCTCCTGCCTGCGGCCTCCCCACTCCTGCCCTGTCTGGCTTGGCCCAGAAGGGCGGTTCCAGGGTAGGCGCCTGACATTGAGGCCCAAGCCGTGACATAGAGCCACCACGGTCCCCCAGCCAGGGTGGGTGAGTCCCTGCTGAGGAAGGGCACCCAGCGCTCCAGCTCCCTGAGGCCAACAAGTCCCAGGATTCCACAACCAAGCCACGCAAGCGTTCGGGTGGCCTCTGGGAGGGAGCCCCCAGGGCCGCCAGGTCTGCCATGTCACAGGCAACTCTGTAGACTTGGTCGGTGGCGGGAACATGAGGCCCCCGGACGCCAGCCCAGGCGGACACACCCGCTGTTCTTGGAAAAGGCATGACTGCAACCTCGCATGAAATGTGAGGCTGTTTAGCAATTGTTGTTGCAGATAGGCAGGACGGGGTGGGGGTGGATGAGGGCAAAGTGGCCGTTGTTGGCTGCAGGCTCAACAAATAGAGGGTAATTGAGGTGAATGGGAGGGGACTGGTGACAGCCCCCACGTGGCCAGGAGCCCTCACCCGAAAGGAGACAAAAGGGCCAGCCCCGCGGGCTCTGGACACTGGTCAGAGGTGCTGCTGGTTACCGCTCAGCCGCTGCTGCCCCACCATGAGCCTCCTGCTGCTGGCCACAGGGCTGACCCTGCTCGGCAGCCCCCAGGCCCTGCACCAGGGGCCACAGGACTCCAACTTCAATGAGACTCTGGTAGTCAGCCGCAGGCATCAGGCGAGGGATGGTGGCCATGGGGACGGGATGGGCCAGTCCCTGCTGTGCCCCTGCCTGCGCCAGCACCCCCACCTCTGCCTCTCAGGTCAGCGGAGACTGGTTCTCAGCAGCACTGGCCTCCAACAGACTGAGACTCCTGCAGGAGGGTGCGGACGCACAGCTTTTCATCCACAGCATCCAGGTGACCCCCGGGGCCCTGCAGCTCCACCTGCACAGGAAGTAAGTGTGGGAGGAGGTGCCGGGCAGGCGGGCAGGGCCTAGGTGAGCCCCAGGATCCCGTCCCCTGCCCACCTCACAGCCTTCTTCCCAGGCTCAGAGGTGAGGGGGTCGCCAAGGCCAGAGGTGATGTTGTGGGGGGGCCTTGTCACCTGGAGACAGACGCAAGGGTCTGAGATCCAGTGTGGCTGAGCCCTGCCCAGTCCCACCAAGGGGCTCCATGGAGAAGGCCAAGCCACATTTTCCAGACACCTGGTTCCAAAGCCAACTGTCACCCCCCTCCCAGGGTAAATGGTACATGTGTCCCAGTCATGATGGTGGCAAATAAAACGAAGAGGAAATTTCAGTACCTGATGGAATGTAAGTATAGACACACCGACATCCGGCCTGGGAGCTCGGGCGGAGCACAGCCTGGAGCGCACTGCCAGGACGCCCACCCCACGGCAGTGTCCCCTGGCTAGACGCCGCCCCCCATGGTGCTCTCTGCGGTAGGGGGGGGCACGAGCTGGCGCAGGTGTCTTAGAAGGGCGGGAGACCCACACCCCGTCCTGCCCAGCCTGGGGCCTGGCTGGTCCGGAGGAACAAGTCATCACCCCTGTGAAGGGACAGGAGGGGTCCAAGGGTGCGGTTCCAGCCCCCACCTCCTGCCCCGCCCTCCACGTTCACAGATGGTGGCCAGAAAAGGATCTTCCTGGAGGAAGTGGACCCCAAGAGCTATGTCATATTCTGCACCCACCACAAAGAACACGGGAAGGAAACGGTGCTGGTGAACCTCTTCAGTAAGTGCCGGAGACCCCGCCCGCCCGGACACCACCCACACCCACCTGACAGGGCAGGGCAAGCCCCACGCCAGGGACACCCAGCCCGCTGCGGGTCCCCAGGGAAGACCCTGGGCCACAGCCAGCAGGACCCAGGAGGCACCCTGGGCACTGGAGGCCATTTGGGAGCAGAAGAGCTCTAAACACGGGATAAACACACAGGATATACGTGCACCGGCAACCAGCAGCTCAGTAAAGCCCCTGGACCGTCCCCTCTTCCTAAGTGTCAAAAATACACAGCATTAGGGGAAGTTTTGCGGAAGACATGTTTGCACCAACTCCCACATAAAAGCAAAGGTTTCTCCGTCCCTGGCGGTCCCGCTGGCGGCTGCATGTGGCCAAGGATTCACGAAGCCGGCGTCTGGGATGCCCCCGGGCCTGCTGCCCTCCCACCACGAGGGCCTCTGGTCTCCAGCAAACAAGAAAGGCCGTGACCAGGCCATGTGTGTCACATGTGACGGCTTCCTCTTTCTCACTGGGATTCAGGGTCCTGGGTTCGGGGCTGTGTCTTTTCCCTGTGACGTGGCGGAGCTAGGACATGGTGGCTTGTTAACTGCATCTGGGAAACGCACAGGCTGGTGAGCTCACATTGGGGCCACAAAGCCTGAGGGGTGTGGTTGGCTCTCCCTGGACAGGGGGCTCCCCAGGCTGGACTCCAGTACTGCCGGTGGGGTCAGCTCCCTCTGGGGGCTCCAGGAAGGTCCTTCCTGCCTCTCTTGGCTCCTGGGGCCCAGGGCCCTTGGGCTGTGGCCGAATCACTCTCAGCTCTGCCTCTGTGTCTCAAATCTCCCTCACCCTTTTCTCAAAAGGATACTTGTCACTAGACGCAGGGCCCATCCCAAATCCAGGATGACCTCCCCATCCCAAGGCCCCTAACTTCATCACGCCTGCAGAGACCTTGTTCCCAAACAAGGTCCATTCCCAGTTAGGGGTCAGGATGTGGGCACGTTCCGGGGGGAACCTGACTCAACCCGCTGCAGGTAGCACTGAAATGACCTTGTTAGAAACATGAGGGTCAGCCCCATGCTGGGTCTCCAAACCTGCAGGGCTGGGGGCATGGTCTGTACTGGCCCACGAGGGGCCAACATCCAGGAACTGCTGGCCACGCCCAGGCCTCGAGTTCTGGCCAGACACTGAGTGTGCAGGGACCACTTCCCATGTCACCCCAGCACGTGACCGATGCCTGCGGCGCAGCCATCCAGGCACTGGTGGCTTGCCTGTGGGGGTGGAGCCGAGTTCGTGGGGGTAGAGAGCTGCCGGCCCGCGTGCAGTCACAGCAGCACGGCTGCCTCTTGGCTTCTGCTCCGCGGTGGGGGTCACAGGACATCCACGCCCAGTGCATCCTCGTGTGTGTGTGCCTGTGTGCAGCCTCGGTGCTTCCCAAAACGCTGTGTTGGTTTGTCTGCCTTTAGACAAACTTGCTGAGGGCCCAGACAGCCCCAGATGTTCCCAGGGCCCCAGCTCTTTATCCCAAAGTGGAATAAACAAAGGAATAAATGCAGGGGACAGTGATGACCGGGACCCAGAGGAGAGGCCGGACCCCACCCGAATGCTGATGGCTCTGTGGGGCCCTTGCCTCCTCTCTGACCCTACCTGGGGCCACCTGGGTCATGGTAGCTCCTGCCCCCACAACTATGCCTCCTCCCCAGAAATCCAGGGCCATCTCCCAGCCCCCAGAACCCCACAGTCTGCTGTCCCAAATGACCAAAAAGACAGCCCGACCCTCTGTCCACAGGCCGGACCCCTAAGGTGAGTCAGGACACCCTGCTGATCTTTACGAACTACTGCAAAAGCCATGGCATTCACAAGACCAACATCATCAACGTGACCAAAGCTGGTGGGTGCCCACCCCCGCCCCAGCCTCGGGGGGCAGAAGGGCCCGGCCCAGATCTCCGCTCAGCACACCGACGCCCCTCTCTCCACAGATCGCTGCCTCCACGCCCAACAGTAGGGGCCGCCGCGCCCAGGTGGGTGACTTCTGACCCTGCGGGGGCTGCAGCGGGGGCTGCTCAGCACTCACAGGAGCCCCTACCCCATGCAGGGCCCTGACGGCTGGGAGATTCAGGATGCGGAGCCAGGATGGGGCCCAAGGCGGGGTTGCCCAGGGAGTCAGTGATGGGCTGATGCTGGCACAGCCTGGGGCAAGGGGCCTTGAGCAGACTCACAGTGGGTCTGCGGGCAGAGGACTGTGGAGAGCAGATGGGGGCCAGGGCCCTGCACACTGCAGCCCATGGTGAGCCCCTCCCATCCCCTCCTCTGTCCCTTGACAGACATGCCCAGTCCCGAGCCTAGAGGAAGCCCTGGCACAGTGCAGGGAGCTGGACCCCTGGCTCTCCAGGTGGTGCCCCATGCGTCCCGCAGATCGGCCCCGTCTGCCCCCATCCCCATCCCCGTCCCACCAAGCCCCCTCTCGCTCACAGGGGTGTCTCCCAGGCACTCTGCCACCTTCCCAGAAGGACCAGAAGATCTTGGTCAACTCGAGGAGCCCTTCAGCCTCCCTGACCCTCTAGGAGCAGCCACCACCCTCCTGGAGGCCTTTCCTGGTGTGTCCAATAAACGACTGCCCTGGACCCAGTGTGCTCTGGGGGCTTCACCTGTTCACGAGCCTGGCTGGTGATGGCACGCTGGCCAGGACCTGCCCACTGGCACCCCAGCCCAGGCCAGGGACACTGGAGGCAGGGGCCCTCCTGATGAGACCGAGCCTGTCGGGGACTTAAGTCCACACCGTCAGGGGTTCACCAAGACACCCTTCAGAGAGAGCGATGATGGGAGATGTGCAGGGAGGGGGCGAGGCTGGGCCCACAGCCAACCTGCAATTTCGGGGCCGCAGGCAGTGGTGGTCCCAGGGCCTGTCACACACTGGTGATGGCAAGGGGGTCTCAGGGCAGAGCCCACCAGCTTCTCCAGCTCAGAGGCCCTTCTGGCCACACACTCGTCTCCCCTAAATGACAGTGGCTGAGGCCCTGGGGGCAGGGACAGTCACTGGGCAGGCAGTAGGGGACGTCTTACCCTCCCTGAGTCACCAGAGCCTGGTGGGTGCCTGCCTGCACCGCTGCTTCAATGCCTAGCCAGGGCTCCCACCATCCTAGGCCAGAGCCCAGGAAGCCTGCCTGATCCCCTAGCCAGGATCCCGCCACCGACCCCAGCCTCAGGGAAGGTCCCTGCTCCACAGTCAGCAAGCCCCTTTGCTCCCCCAAGAGCTACACCTTTGGGCCATGCATAAGCTCACTCCTGCCCCAGGCCAGGCGGCTCTCTCTGGTGGCCCAGGATCCCCCAAGGCTCTCTCTCAGGCCAGGCTATGCCGTGTGGCTCTAAGGCCTGCATCAGCCCTGGACAGCAGCTGGCGGGGAGGTGGGGGGGAGCTGGCCGCACTGTCCCTCAGTCAGAGGATCACCCACCCCGACGCTGGGACGAGGCTCCTAGCCCCCAGGACCCACCCCCAGACCACAGCCCAGCACCCTGGGTGGCTGAGCCCACCCTCCCTGACTGCTCCCCTCTGTGCTCCCCGGGTGCCCCCACCTCTGCACCTCTGCCTCCCCCATCACAAGCCTGTGACCCGACTTGTGTCTGCTTCCCTTCCCCCACCCACCCCCTCCACCCCAAGGACACCCTAGTCCCAACAGTCTGGGCCACGGTCTGACGATACCATTTCCTCACCGGCTCCTGCTTCTCCTCAGCACAAGCCGCCCTCCCCCCTGAATCCCGGGCCCTGACTGCTCCTCTGGCAAAGGCCCAGCACTGCTCACCCCAGCCCCAGCACATGGGGGCGGGGGCATTTGGGAGAAGGGAAAAGGGACCCCACCCCATCATCAGCGCGAAACCAGCTCCAAAGGAGGTCTCAGGAGTCCTGGGCCCCAGAGACAACTGCACTGGGGGGCGCTCCTGCTGAGCCCGAGGTTCCCCCCCTCACCTCTCTTCTGCAAGGAAGCAGAAACAACAGGAGTGACTGAAGCAGGTCACTCAGCACCCTCCCATCCCACCCCTGGGGGGCACTGCCCATCTGCTTCACGGACGGACAGGCAGGGGGCTCCGAAGGACATGCCATCCTGTGGTAGCCCGGCGGTGGAGGGGAGCCTACTGCCCACTGTAACCAGTGCCCACCACACCCAAGACCCCAACACCCTGGGGCATGTGTCACAGGCAGGGGTACCAGCCAGCCAGCCCCCAGCCCCCGACCCAGCTGAGTCCACCCACCAGGCGTGGGAAAGTCAGGTGAAGTTGGAAAGAGCCCAAGTGTCCATCGGTGCAAAAACTGACACACTGGACACTGAGGGTTCACTCCTCCCCGCCTGCTGGGGTCCTAGGCACCTCACCCCACCATGTGCACACATACACACACATGTTCACACACACGCGCGCACACACACACGTGCACATACTCACAGCAGCCAGGCCAAAGGCATCTGGAGCAGAAATCGTGGCCCTGCTTTGGGCGTCCCCAGTGGACGAAGGTGGGGAAGTGGACCCTCCTAAGCCTGCTCTTTGTCCTCTGGGGTTGAGATGCTCTGATGAGAACAGTCTGATGAGCGCTGGGCCCTGACACCAGGGAGCAAGAAGCACCCTGGCCCCCGCCAGCCGGACCCACCCACCCACCCACTCAGGCCCGGGAACAGCACCACAGTCGTGCGGGGGCCGTTTTCAGCCTGCATTCTCCAAAAGGCCCTGGAGTGTCAGGCTGTGGCTGTGAAGCTGCTGCCCCACCCTGGGCTGCCCTCCACGACAGCGGGGACCCCGTAATTCGGAAACCTTCTCCTAAGTGCCCCTCTGTGTTGCTTAGAACTCTCCCCACCCCCACCCCCGGGCACCCGGTGAAGGAGCCTCCTGCCCCGGCAGAGGCCGTGTGCCCCGTGGACCTCCTGACCCTTCACTCCTCACTCACAGACTGAGGCTGCGTTCTGAGTAAGCACGCTCCCCCCTTAAGGGAAGCACAGGGAACCGCGCCCCCAGGAGCAGCAGCAGCAGGACACCGCAGCCCTGGAGTCACCAGAAGGGCAGCCTGGACAGGGACTTCTAAGGGACAGGCACTTCCCAACCACCTGGGACTGGGCTACCCAGACGCACTTGGCCATGTGCGACCCCGGGAAGCAGCCTCGGGGTCCAGGGCTCATCCTCCTCTTGCTGAAGGCTCTGCGTCCTGGTGGCTGCTGTCCATCACCTGGCCTCTGATGTCCATTCCCAAACCCAAGAACAGGGCACTTTTGGGAACAGGGCACAGTCCCCAAGCAGGTCCAGAACAGGCTGGGGGGCAAGAACTCCGCGAGCAATGATGACCCGGGAGGGCCCCACCTGGAGAAACCCAGCACCAGGAAACAAGCCCCCACGGGCCGTCCCAGGCAGCTCCACGGCCACTGAGGTCAGCCCAGGGACCAGCCCTGAAGCCCCTGAGCCTGCAGGTTCCTCCTCCTGCCACCCCACACTTGGGCGACAACCTTCCCTTTTAGGTTAGAGCCTAAGAATTTCAAACGAGGTGAGCATAACCACCCTTCACACTCGTGAGAATAAAACCCAGCTTTTCAGAGGTGTAACGTGGCCATTTTCTGCCCTGAGGAGGCAACACGGAGCATCCATCCGTCCAGCTAATCTCCTGGTCTGACTCTCCAGAAGAAAAGGGAATGCCAGCTCCACCCCGTTGACAGAGCGTTGGGGGAAATTTCAGAAGCTTCTCTCCCATCATCCCGGAGAGGCACAGACACCCATATCCAGGGGGCTCGGGGAGGACCCAGCACCCACGTTCCTCAGAACTAGCGCCACCAAGGGCACCCCCTGCGAATAGGGCTGGCTGGGCCCTGGACAAAACCAGACACCAACCTGGCCAGGCTGGGTGCTCCCTCCCCTAGCACCCAGGCCCCATCCAACGCCAGGGGCTTCTGAGGGCATGGGAGGCCGGCCCCCTCCTCCCCTCCTCCACATGGCTCTGCATCTCCACTGCCCCCACAGTCTGCCGGTCTGGGAGGCCAGGCGGGGAGCAGAGGGGTAAGGGGGGCCTGCAGCGGCACCTTCTCCGGGCACAGCAGCTCCATGTGCACCGTCCCAGGACCTGCAGGAGGGGACCCAGGACCCTGGGGCAGCGTAGGGCTGAACGCTGCAGTTCCAGGCCGCTCTCTTCCCGCTATCAGACCGACACTGGTCACCAACCACTACTCTTGCCCCACGAGCCTGCCTGGGCCTCAGGATCACTCCCAACATCGGCTCCAGGTGCCCCCTCCGTGGGCTCGAGTTGGCACAGACAAGCCCTGCCTGCCACCTGGGGCGGGGTCCTATCCTTCGCCTTCAGTGAGGGGTTTCAGGGTCATGGTGGGTCCCACCCACCTGCCCCCCTTGGGACCTGGGTCAGGCTTCCGAACAAGCCAAGCCCTGGCTCCTGGGCCTCCCTCCCAGGGTGCAGGGTGAGGTTGTCCAGAGCCCAGACAGGGTCAGTGTGGCCAGACACACAGGGCTTTCACAGCTGTGCCCCTGAGCCCAGAGAAGGGGGCTGGGCAGAGCTGGTCTGCTCCGAGGTGAGGAGGGGGCTCTGCTCAGCGACTCTGCCCCAGGCCTCCTCCCGCTTGTAGAACCTGACACTCCCAGCAGTAGGGCTGGCGCCTGCCTCAGCCACATCCCACTGGCTCTGGGCCCTGGGTCAGCGTCAGAGGACAGGGGACAAGCTCACCATCCCCAGCCCGAGGGGCGCCGGGCACAGAGCAGGGGGCGCGTGCACGTGGAAGCCGGTGAACCAGAACCTGAAGACCTGCTGAGTCCACACCCACCAAGAAAGGCATCAGCCTGCACACATGCACACACGCACCGGTCCACAGGTGTGCAAATGCAGCACACAGCACACGTGTACACACACAGGTGAACACACATGCACGCAGTCTCTGAGGGGACACTCTTGAGAGCAGGCTGCAAGGAGTGCCTGGTCAGATGACAAGAGTCAGGCCCAGCACCCTCGTGCTCTCAGAGCCTAGAACGTTTCTGGAACACGGGCAGCCAGGTGATGGAGGCCCTTCCATGGAGCAGGCTCCTGGGACAGGGGCTGTGGCCACTGACCGTGGCTCTGCTGGACGAGAGGGCAGGACACCCCCAGATGTGCCCCATGCCCCGGTTGGGGCCTTCAGGAAGCCCACGGGGGAACAGGGATGCTGGCCCAGGAGTGGCACCGCCCCGCAAGCCCACCTGGGCCTCCCCCAGGCCCCTCGTCCATGACGAGGGCGGCTCTGCACCACCTGCCCCCACCACACACACACCGGCCGCCCTTCACCTCTGTGGGCAGTGACTCAGAGACTAATGGAACCTCCTAGCTACAGGTATGGGCGGTGGGTACAGGGATGGCAGCCTGGGCAGGGGTCTCTACGCGCACACTGGGTGGGGCTCTGCCACTGGCCTGGGAGGTCACGTGGGGCCCAGTGTCTCAGAAGGGGACAAGGCAGGGTGAGCAGCCCGGTCAGAGACCGGCACCCTCATCGCTGTGGCTGAAAGGTGGAGAGGCTCAGGCAGGGCCAGCTCCACCAGAGCCAGGGGCGGGGTCACTCCTCACAGGAACCCAGGCCCTCCCCCGCTGCCAGGGCAGGAGCATCTGGGACTGGGGCTGGGCCCACCAGGGTAGACAGAGTCCAGGCACTAAAGCCTCTGCCCCAGGCCACACAACAGGCCCCGCCTTGAAGGCAGAGGGCTGCCCCTTCCCCCGCACATCCTGGCCTGCAGAGAGGCCTCACCTGATGGACTCTCCAGGAACCCCCCCCCCCAGGCCAGCCTCACAGGCAGGAGAAGTTGGGTCGCACGCCCACCTCTCAGGGAACAGACCCAGAACACATGGGTCTCAGTCTGTGGACCCCTCCCCACCTCAGCCCCGGGGCCGGGTTATTTAGGGACCCCAAAGGACGGGAACATCACAGAAACAAAACCGCAGGCAAGGGCCAGTGCTCTGAATGGAAATGATACCATCTGCGCAGTGAATCGCATTAATTACACAAAAGCTACACAAGTTTTGCTTCCTCTAGGAAAATCACTTTCCCTCTTTAACACTCCCCGCAGCCACCCCCTCCAGCCCCGCTCGAATTAGAGCGCAGCTGCAGCTGAAGCCCAAAATCAAATGCCCAAGTGTGCGGCCAGCACCAGTGGCCCTCAGCAGGCAAAGAAGTCCGGGAAGATGCTGTCCACCTCGTCCCGCAGGGCCAGGCTGGGGCAGCTCACGTCCGAGCCCCACGGCTCCAGAGGACCATCTGGGGGCTCCTGGGACCCGGGCTCAGGATCTGCCAGGAAGCCTGGCTCTGCCCTGCCCAGTGGGCTGCTCCTGGTGGGGACTCGAGAAGGGGCACTGCCACCTCGGCCCTCCAGAGACCCTGGAAGCAGACGGGACACGTCAGCAGAGCAGGCAGGTACCCTGGGAGCCCAGGGTGCACAGAGTGGGGTCAAGTGTGCAGAAGAGGGCCCACCTCTGCCCACCCGTCCCGCCTGACCAGGAAGCCTTCTGCTCATCCGTGAGATGGGAATGGGAGGCAGTGTGACCAGGTGGGTGGGCCCACTCCTGTCGGCCCTGCTCCAGACCCAGAAGGTCCAGAACCAAGAAGGTGCTTCTCCCAACACCCAGTCCTGCAGGGATGCCCCTCACTGCATGTCCAGACGCCTTTGCAGGAACCTCGGGAAAAGCCTGACGGGACCTTGCAGCCGACACACGACTAGCCCCACACGCCGTGCACTCACACACTCCCACCCAGATACAGCCCCTCTGCACACGCATCCCATCCTCCCCCAGTGGTCCTGAAGACCACCAGCAAAGAAGGAAACGGGAGCTCAGAGACAGACACTGAGACTTGGTGCCACACAGCAAACTGGATGCTGTCACATCTCCCCAACAGTCCCACTGCCTGCCTGGGTCTGCATCAGCACCAACTAAGGCCCCAAATCAGGGGCGGAGGGGGAAGAAGGCGGCCCGGCTGAGCACTTCCCCACTCACCCAGCCACCAGTCGGGACTGGCAGTCAGCAGAAAGGACGCCCCGTCTTCTACATCACATCCCGACACAGACCTGGATGGAAGAAGAAGACCCCGCTCCCGGGTGGTCCCAGGTACCCAGACCTTGCAGTTGGAGTGAAGAGCACGGGCTCTGAAGGGTAGCTTCAGGTTCCAGGATAGAACGGGGTGCCCCCTCCCTGTGGACCCTGAGTCCGTCCTGCTGCTGGTTCCCCTCCAGCACCCTCCCCTCCCACGCCCCAGCTGGTGTGTGCTCACAAAACGCAAACTCCCTTACTATCAGCCAAAACAGAACACGATTAAAAAGACAACAGTGTTTTCAGAACACACATTAGAAAGCCACGTGGCACAGACTGGCAGCCTCGGCCTCAGGCAGGCACTGTGGGCTGAAGGACACAAACCCCCTGGCGCGCAGATACAAGACCACAGACGTGGCCGGAAGGAGGCACGCGCCTGCTCGGGGCATCAGGCACACACGTGCACACACCCCTGGGGCACCCACCTGGCGTCCAGCGTCGGGGCCATGTGGGCCCCCCGAGCTGAGGGCCCAGCCTGACCCAGGCAGCTCAGAGGCTCTTCGCTCACCAGGGGGGAGGGTGGCTGCCGTGAGTGGGGAGGCCACAGTGGGGACTTTCTTGGGGCCTTGGAGGGACTCGGGCCTCGGGACCCAGGGACCAGGCTGGGAAGCTCTATGAGGGAAGCAAGGTGTGGGTCAGCCTTCCCCACCTGTAGCACAGCCGTCCCGTGAAGACTTCGGCCCTCCGCACAGCGCATGGGGCCACATAAAGCTCAGAAACAGGAGACTAACAGGCAACCACGAGAAAGTAAATGCCCAGAGATGAGGCACCTGGGGCCAGGGAGGCTTCCTGGAGGAGGCACCCACTAGGCCTCAGGTCAACCATGTGGGGCTCAGACCTAGGAATCCTCGTGCCATTACCCCCCCCATCTGCTCATAATTCATGACCTCGGGTTCCATCTTCAGACCACCCTGCTGTGAACCCTGCACCCTCATGCCTTGCCTGTGGGTCCCAACCTCCCCCGGGGGCCCAGCCGACCTTCCCTGGAGGCCCAACTGAGCTGCCAACCCTGTGACAGCAAGACCCCTCCCCTCCTCAGTGGGCATACCAGGGAGGGTGGAACGCATGGTCTCGCCTCCCGTGACACTCAGGGACGGGCAGTGATGGTCCTGGGGCAGGGGTCCAGCATGAGGGGGACACAGTCGCCATGGATGTGTCTTATGGGCTGGGCAAGGGTAGCAGGGGAGGACAAGATGGTGCTCACGCTTACCAGACAGGACGGGCAGCCTGTCCGGCACCTTGGCCACCCCCTCGTTCACACCCGCGGCCACACAGCTTGGGGGTGCCTGTGGCCTAAATGGTGTGAAAACAGAGAGCTCTGAGCAGTCCGTGTCCACCATCCGCCCCCTTCCCATGGGTCCCTTGGCCCCACAGGGACACTAACATGGTTACACTGGGTGCTCCCCTGCCAGGGTCTGGGGCACCTGCTGGGGTCTGTGTCGCCAGGGCCAGCTGCAAAACATCCTTCTGCCACTTGTGCCGCGTCTCCTGGGAGGAAACAAGGGTGTGAAACATAAGTAACCTTGGAAAACGCAACAGAGGCATCAACCAGAAAGCCCGCAGGAAAAGCCATTGATGGTCCGTCCCTGGCTGCCCTGCCTGGGGTCCTGGAGGTCACTCTGAGTGTAGACCCTGTCCTCAGGACTCGGAGGAGGGAGGCAGAGGGCCATGCCCGCCCAGGGGGCTCACAGGAACAGGACTGCTACCCCTATCAGCCTTGGCACCATGGGGGAGTGCCAGGAACAGAAGAGGAGGCCACAGCTCATCCTCAGAGCTTCTGCATGGCTCCTGGACCAGCTGTAACACACTTTCGGAGAGGCGTCTGCCAAAAATGCAGCCTGCCCAAAGGTGCAGGGCAGAGAGCAGAGGTAAGCCAGTGGGTGGGGGCGGGGGTGCCACGGCTCCCCTACAGAGGGCTGACCCGGAGCCAGAGAACAACTCACAGCGTGCTGCTCCCAGCCGGGCACCAAGGTGCCAGCCAGCCGGAGGAACTGCACCGACATCTCCAGGACAGAGGCCATGTCCTCCCGCCGGCCATCGAACCGGGGCAGCAGGGCCCGCAGGCGCTCACAGCTCACCGAGATCCGCTTCCTGCTCCCAGGGAGTAACAACCGTCTATGGGGCAGTCTTGGCCAGGAGAAAAGACTGCAGCCCGCTGGAACCACCCCTGGGGCCACCCCCAGGGGCTTCTCAGGTGCAAAGACTACAGGCCAAGGCCTCTGGTTAGCTCTGCAAATGGTCTGGGCCCTTCAGGGACTATGTCAGGCCATAGACTCACCCGGGCCCTGGACCCCAGTTGCAGGCTATCCAGCAATCTGCCTCGGGCCATAGCCAAGACTAAACCATCAGTGCTTCGGGGTGTGAGTCCCCGCCAGGGTCTGGGGTCTATTGGTCCCATCTGCACAGGACTTCAGATCAAACAAGGGGCCACAGTGGTAGCCCCTGCCCGCGCCCCTCAGATTTTGTTTACGTTGGGACAGACTAAGTGTCTCCTTACCAAAGACCACAAGCCGGTCCCAGCCGCCTGAAACCAGGTAGCGGGCACACTGACCTCCTCTCCCCGCCCCGCCCCCACCACGTGGCCCCCACCTGCGCTCCCTCTCGCTGAGTACGTTCCGCGGGAGGCGGGAGCCTGGACCCTCCACCAATGCAGGGGCCTTAGCCAGACCCGAACCCTGGTGAGGGTCTTCGCAGCAGACCTGGGTGCCACACGAGGAGGGAGCACTGTTGAGAAGAGATAAGCGAGCCCGCTCCGTGACCCCAGAAAACGCCCCAGGAGCCCAGAGCCGGTGATGGACGGGGCGGGTGCAGTACAGGGCCTGGGCTGCCCAGGAACAGGGCCCGTGCCTTCCTTCTTGCGCCCCTCTCTCCCTCCTTCCCTCTAAGGGCTAGGGGTCGGAGTCCGCCCCAGGTGGGCCATGCTGGGTGGGCACGCCAACTCGGTCCATTTGAACTGGACAGAAATGCCAGGCCTGGACACTCCGAGCACCCCTGGGCAGGAAGCCTTCCAAATGACCCCCTCTGGTGCCCTCCTCAGTTCTCACCTGCATACCCCAGAGCCGGGGACTTGGGGAGGCCCAGCGGCGGTCTTAGAACGCCTGGACGCCATGAGCGCGCAGCCGCGGGAAGCTGCCACAAGGCCCCGGCCCCCGACGCATGCCCC